AGTAGCCTAGCATGCAGAGACCCTTGTTCCATACCCAGAACTGTAAAATAAAAGTCTGTAAGTTTATGGAAGATTGAACAGAATGGCTGTGGAAAACCAAATAAGAAAGTGAAGCGATTTAGCCAACAAGATGAACAAAACAACCTTGTGAGGGTAGTGACCCTGGCCTCCTTTGTTCCCCACTTTCCATCTTGCAGTAGAAATGCTGGAATTATAGCCGTGCACTCCAGCACGTCTGGCTTTCATGTTTCTGGAAACACAAACTACAATCCTCATGCTTGCACGGCAATCTCTTCACTCACTGCGCCATCTCCCCAGCCTCACACAGAGCCTTGTAAAAATTCTGTGTCATGTTTCATTTCAGGGATGCACTAAGTTATTAAAAAAAAAAAAAAAAAGAATTCCACGTGGGTTTTTTTCCTCTTTGAATGATGTTGCAATGAGAGAGAATATTATGTTTCACTTTCATATCTGAGTGTTAAAAATGCTGTGTGGTAAATTCCCATGAGTGGGCTTCCTGAAAGTGAGAGTGTCTTCCTTTTACTGTGAATAGAACTTACCAAGTGGACGTCCAGTGAGGTTCCACAGGTTTCCCCTTCTTCACCTAGCAGGACGCTGTCTGTTTTCTCATCTGCTCCTGGCACTGAACACCAGTACCAGGTGTCCGTGCCAACAGGATGGATAGACAACGGCATGCTCCTTAATTGGATTTACATTTTTTTAAATTGCAAAACATTAGAAAATCTTACAGATTTCCATTGGCTCTTTCTGTTTTTCTTTTTCTCTTTTAAAAATTTGCTTGCTTACATTATTTGCTGAGCTTTCTACTCAGTGCTTACTGTTTTCCGATAAATAGGTTTGAAAGAATGCTTAAAATTATGGTCTTTGGGAGACAGAGGCAGGCAGATCTCTGTAACTTTGAGGCCAGGCTGGTCTACCAAGTGAGTTCAGGGCAGCCAAGGCTACATAGATAAACCCTGACTCAAAAAACAAACAAACAAACAAACAAAAAACAAACAAACAAACAAAAAAAAAAACAAAGAACAAAAAAACAAAACCACCACCATCACCACCAAAAAACCCAAACCAAACTAAAACCTGTGGTCTCTGTCACACTTAGCATAATTTTCTGTTTGTTCACGGGCTGTTTTGTGACACTTCATTTTTATTTGTTTATATTTAGATTTTCAAATATTTTACTGTGAAATGTAATATGCTAATTTGCAATAGCCTGCAAAGTTGCAGGTTCCCTTGAGGCACCTTCCTAATTACCATGTCTTGGTTGACACTCTCTACTCCGTTTTTCTTCTCCCTCTTCTCCCCACTCTAGACCTGTCTACCTCCAGTATTTCCCAGTTCACTTTCATACCACACGTGTGCTATAAGCCCCTCTTCTCTCCTTTAAAGCCTGTTTTCCCCCACATGGTCCCGATTCTAGTTTTCTAATGTTGACACTCCCTCGGTCCCACCTCACCTTCCCTGAGTACCAATCCTCAGGCATTGGGGAACAGTGTTTTTGATGCTGTTGGTGGAATGTTCTTGATGGCTTTCGGGTCTCAGCTCCCTTAGTGCTCATCTGTCTGACTGTTGGTTGATTATTGATTATTGTCCTACTATGAGGACAGATGGACTTGCTGTCGGCCTGTGTCCTCTGTTCAGCCTGTGTCAGGAGCTGTGATGTTTGGCATACATAGATGAACGATGGCTATTCTTTCATAGTGAGTTGAGTGGCATGAACTCCCATATTCTGTTTACATTTTGTAAAGCCAAACACAGCAATTCTTTTGGTGATTCCTGGGGATGGTCTCATTAAGAAAGGCTAGGCCTACTTGTTTCCTCTCCACGTTTATATTTTCTGTGTTTCAGTGTCTGCCTTGAAGGCTATTCCTTATTATCTGAACTGACGGTAGCTCCTCTTGAGGTGCAGTACCTTCTTGTTTGCTTCTATGCTCTTATCCTGGCCTAGCCAGTGCCTTCTTTGACTGCTTTAATCCTCCACCCTGTCTCTAAAGACTCCATTACATGGCGCATCTCGCCTCTAGCGGGGCCCTTGCGCCATGGTTGCCTTCCTGTCTGTTGCACTGGAAACATCTGCTCTGATGTGAGCTACATGGCAGTGGACACACACCAGGGAACTAGGGAGGCACCAAAGGTGAAAGATGGGGTCATGGACCCAGATAAGGAAGAGGAAGGGGGCGGGCAGGGGGCAGCCAGGTTATCGGAGGAGTTAATGAACACACCTGCCCCTGTTTTCTGGCATTTGCAGCAGGAGGTCAAAGGGTCTCTGGGGCAGGATGATGACCCCAGAAAGCAAAGGAGTGAGGATTTTGGGTTGTTGCAAGGAACTCTGGGAACTATGTGTTGATCAGCCAGAACTAATGGTTGGGTTAGTGATCATTCAATCCCAGTCAAGGTGTGGGTATATGGCTGGGCTTAGATTCCAGAGGCATTGCTTAAGAAATAGGTGAGGCAAACACAAGAGGAGCAGGTGGTCTCTGTGGCCTCAGACCACTGGGTCAACATGCCCAGCACTCCTGTAGGCCCATTGTGTGCCTAGAGCTCAGAGGAAGGCTACTTTCCTTCTCTGGCTCTGTCAGGACGGCAGCTAGATGCTTTGGAGTCCCTCATGTACAAAGTGCTGTGCTAAGCTAGGCAGGAGGCTGGCACCTCCCACCCTGTGGGCTCAGGAGGGGGCTGGTGAAAGACTCACTGACCGGGACTCACAAGGCCAGCAGGAGACATGTGCGCTGTATGCACAGCACCAACTCTCTCTCATGCTGTTGCTCTGGGGACTCGTGGGTTGAGTATAAAAGGGGATATTCAGTCCCTCTGTGTACAGGGGACTGTTGGTGGAGGAACGCCCAGGGCAGCTTATGAGCTTGGCCATGTGCTGCTGTGACCGGAGGCCTGCCTGCTCTTCTCTAGGTTTTGTCCAGTAAGAGTGCCTTGTATCACTTTTCTGGAATCAAGGAAGGGAGAGAGTTCTGTGGTTACGTTAGCCCACCTCAAGCAGCAGCTGAGAGAAGGGTAATAGGTTCCTGGCCATCAGGGGCCTATGGCTGTGCCTGAGCCATGGTATCTTCAGTCAGTGTGTGCTTCCACTGCCCTGTGAAGTTTCACGTGTGGACCTAGAATCTGTGCTGTGCTAGTCAGTTTGCTTAGGAGCAGAGGAGAGACAGACAGATCAAGTACCTAATGCCCCAGAAGGGTTCCTTGGTTTGGCTAAGAAGAAACTGATGGTGTCCATTCCAGAGAATGGGAGCTTTGCCTTGAGGATGGGGAGAATAAAGTCCCTTCATTCTCTCATGTACATCTGTTCCATGCCATACTCTTCTCAGACAGATGTATGCACTCTGACCAGACATAGTTATGCACAAAGACTGACAATGACAGGGACACACCACACTACACACACAAACACACACTCTTATTCATGCACACTCTGTCTTGGAGCCCTCTCACATTGGAGGTCACACAAACAGAACAGGACATAAACTTAGCTATCTCTTCAGAGCCCTAGTTCTGGCATGGAAAGGAAAGCTGTTCAAATAATGCAGTCTGTCCCCCAGTGGCCATACTCTGGACTCATGTCCAGGACAGTGATTTGTTCCGGCTACCAGTGACAGCTGTGAGGCTCCTGACAGCACTGCATGTTCCAAGCTTAAGGCTAGAGTGCTCCAGCAGGAGACGTTCTGAAACAAGGCTTAGTATGAGTGGACAAGTGCCAAACTTTAGCCCACCACAAAACCCTACCAATCAGCTTCTCCTTGTGTCCAGGTGAGCCACCCCATCACCACTGGCCAGTGGCAGCTCCACTGTGCTTTCTTGGCTTCAAAGTGATGCCTCATTTCTCACCAGATCTGTGAAGCCTATGGGTACTAAGGGAAAGAGTGTTTCCCAGCACTTTCCAGGGGGGGGGGGAAGGCAGCAAGGTTGGTTCCCAGAGAATACCCTCAACAGAAGGACACCATCTCTCAAAACGGCACACGGGCAACTGAGATGGAAAAAAAAAAAACATACGTAAACAAAGTAGGCTTTATCATCCCCAAGAGAAATACTGAGGCCCATAGTTATGGTGAAGTAACAAAGGCCAGACAGCTGGTGTGTGTCAGTCTCTACTAGAACCCAGGTCCTGGCACTCTTCAGTCCAGTGTCAGTAGAGTCAGGAGGATGGAGTGACTTATCTTTGGCAGAGGGCCATAAGAAGAAGTGTCTCTTGTAGAGAGATGTTTGGTGTGTGTTAGTTACCGAGTCCCATGAAATCACACAGCCTTGATCTAAAATATTACAATCTTATGATTCAAGCCAATGCTTTCTGTCCACATTTAGTCCTGGCCCTGATGACAAGGGTGAATCCTGTGAGCTACTATGAGTCACTAGACTTATGCTTTTCCTTGGAATGGTATGTTGAGAGCCTTGAGACGGGGCACTGACAGACATAGGACTTCAGGCAGATCTCAGGAGGACCATGGGAAAGCACAGGTGTTCTCCTGTAGTGACATATCCTTGTCATGACCTTTTAGAGCCATCCATGGCTTCATGGTCAGCAAGGACGAGGAGAACAAGGTATGTGGCCTTGATCCAGTGGCTTGACTGGCTTATGGAGACAGAGGACATTACCAGAGACCTTCCTGTTCATTGGCAGGGAAGGGATGACAGGGACAGAGGCTGGGGCCCTGCTCCAGCCCAAGGAAGAAGAGCTCTATCTACCATCTCCTCCAGCCATTCTCAGCAAACTCTGGTGAGATGAAATAATACACCCAGAAGGGGACAGTGCTGGATATGTGACATCATGGGGGTCTCCTAAACACAGATGCAGGAGACCCTGAGATGCCCTTTGACCTGGAGTCCCCACACACCTCAGGGAGTAGAGGAAGACACAGACACCACAAGGAGAGGGCTTTGCTGGTTTCACCCAGGCATGGGTGAAGCTAGCCCATGTTTAGTGTCAACAGGGAAGGGACATGGCTCTCAGGAGAGGGGCTGACTCCCAAGGGCAGTTAGTTTCTGTGATTTACCACCCTGCCAAGAAAGAGGGGGAGGCTGTTTGTCCTATTCTCAATGAAGATTAAGAAGGGTCTCTTTAACCGGAGAACAGGAATACTAGCCCACTCTTCTTGATTGCAACAATTCAGAACAGGTTTTATCCCCTTGTCATTAAGGGTCAGCATGGCCTTACTTATCACCTGTAGAAAGACAATCAGAGGCCTGTCAAAAGGGGAAAACACCTACTGCGTACTAGGGTAAAATCTCATTTGGAACTCAGGAAAGAAGAACTGCAGATGGTTTGTGTCCACCCTTTGTGGTACTATTGTTCTGCCCTCGGTGGTCCATGGTAGTGACCCAAAGCCCCTCTCCCTTTCTCTCCAGCCTTTGCCTGCTTTGGCCCATTCCCTACCATGCTCCCTTCCTGACTCCACCTCTCATGGCCTTGGATACAACTCACACCTTCACAGTGGGAAGACCATTTGGATTTCATGTCCTTTGCACAAGGGTCCCTGTTCCAATGTGTAGCTGTGAGCTCTCTGGGGACAGGGTTTCTGAAGATGATCTTGAGTGTCCAGACTTCCAGGGTAAGCAGCCTGATCTGAACTGCCTTCAATTTCCCTTAATCATTGGCATCTTTGGAGAACTCTTTAGAACTTCTGACTTTGTAGTTGACCAGTTGCTCTAAGTGTCACAGATGGAAAATTCTAAGCTAAAGTCTCAGGTCACTGAGCCCAAGCCTCTCTATATGAATATGGGTAAACTGAGCCCCAGCAACTCAATGGTCCTGAGCAACAGTGAAGCTGATGTTCAGGAAAGCCATCCAGGGGAGCTGCTTACATTATCAGCAGCTTTGACCTCTGACCCACCCTCCAGTTAAATCCCAAAGGTCCCCCCGAGAGGACCAACTTTGCCTTGATATACACCCTTTACCCTCCCCTTAGCCTTGTATCTGAGGTGCACCTCTACCTATTTGACTCAAAAAGACACTGGAAAGGCACTGTGAGGTGACTTCACCTTGAAGGACTTACGAGGTGTGTCATCTGTGACCACTGAACTGTTGGCTTCATTGCTGAAAACATAGGTGATTCCTAGTAGGTTCAACACTGACTCCAGGTTATGGGTCTCAGACACTGACAGTTCTGGGATGTGCGCACTGACCATCCTGGTGTGCAAGAAAAGCAGGTTTTCGTTAGTGTGGAAGAAACAATGCCTTTGTCCCGGGGGCCCCTGGGATGGCACCTACTCTGAGAAGCCCTTCAGGCATACTCAGGGTGTCCGCATGGAACCATGTTTCACTATGCCCTACAGTATTTGGTCACCCCTCTTACTCAGCCAGGGAGACCCCCAAGACATGACTCTAAAGAGAGTGGAAGTCAGTGTAGCTGAGGACAACTGCTCACTGGTGAGGCCAGGCAGCAGAGTGGCATCTTTGCCTGCAGTTTACCTCAGGCCTGCCTGAGCCTGGGTTTGCTTGGAGAGCACGGGCTCACAGATTTGTGCAACATGTCTCTGGGCACCCAGTAAACCCCAGGCAAGAGTGACAGAAGAAGAGATTGCCTTGCAGTCATGCCCTGGCCTCTCTTTTCTTGTCTGAGGTTTTCTATACAGATTCCTCCCCTGTCCTCCAAACACTCCCAAGGAATGTCCACCTTGACCTCTACCCCTGAATGTGGCCAGGTCCTGAGAGCCATCTCTATCTGCTTGGCTCAGCCATAATTTATGTGACAACTGTCGACCCTGCCCTAAGCTCTGCATATTGAGGAGGGAGTGTGTCCATACTGGGGTGAGATTTCCCCCAAGGTCAATGGGTTTACCTCTTTATTTTGAGTGCTGTTTCTATCAATGAGCCTGGCCTATGTTGTGGAAATGAGCACCAAGTCTGCCTGAGAGCTCAAAGTTGCTGTGGCCTCAACTTCTGGCCAGTCTTCTAGGGTCTTTGTCATTTACTGATCAGAGCTTGGGTGGCTCTGGGTAGTTCCTGGCACTGAGGATTATCTTAGGCTGAATTGTTGTGTCATCCGGCGGAAGTGTGGATAGGTCAGTCTCTCTTCTGCCACGTGCATCTTCCCTTTCTCAGGTAAGATGAAATAGATTGTGGCTTCGATTAAGGAGTGTCCATATATAAACGCCATGCTAAACCGATCCTTGACTTGGAATAGATCATACACATCCACACTATGGTCGGTACCTTGCTGGGCCTCTTATTTCCTGGCTGGAAGTACTCCATTTTGACAATCCGACACTTAACGTTGCTGAAAATTTTGGCTGGAGAGGATGAAGAGGGATGTCAGACAGGGGTAGGTCTAGGTCTGTGGGAGAGTAACAGAAGAAAGGAGCCAGGAGACTCCTCTTGGGACCCCAGTTTCATGAGATAAAAACAGAATAAGAATTGACATAATATGGTACAAGGGCTTCTTTAGTGTCACTTTAACGTGGGGTGTGTGTGCCAACTTTGGGTATGTTTTGGCAGATTCCAAAAGTAAAGCGCCTTAGGAAAAATGTTCACTATTAAGTTTGTTTGATGGTTCCCCGGGGATGCTAAATGGTAACAAATGCAAGTAATCCCCGGTCCCTAAGTCACAGCTGCACACTTTTCTTCTAGAGGCTCCTTGTTTTTGGTAGACAATGGTTTAGTCAATATTCAAGCAAACTTTTATGGTACCTTGAGCCCTTTCCTGAGCCTGAGATACAGTGCAGATGCTTGGAGGCAGATAGGAAGTAGCCTTCCTAATAATGTACAAGAACATGACCATCATGGCCATTTGAGTAGGTAGGGGCCTTAGGGACATATCCTCAAGGTCATCAGAATAAGTACAACCCTCAGAGCTCCTGACCCCATGTTGCCGCTTGGGTACTGGGGCACAGAGCTCCAATCCCAGTCCTTCAGAAGCCTGGGATCCACTGGTTCAGCCCCAGACACTGCACCAAGGTTCAACCTATCTCCCTAGCTAAACTGACCAAACCACAGGGCTCCCTGCCACTTCAAGAGGGCTGTACCCAGCAAACACAGTGTAGGAACAGCAGCAGCAGCCCACCAAATTCAAAGCAAGTAACACAGCGGCAGGGTAGCCGTCTCCAGGACTTCTCCTGGTGAGAGGAGAGCCCCAGTGACTACCAATGACCACAGTTACCACACGCCCATAAGCCTGAGGTGAGCTGTGGTAATTCCTGAGAAGCACTGGCTATTTGGTGACCATACCCAAAAAGCTGAGGAGGCTTCCTTTGGGAACAACTATCTTCCTGCCAAGGGGATTCTCCCCACCCCAGGATTCCAGGAGGTACCAGAAACTAACAGCCAACACCTAAGACAACCAGAAATGTAGAGGCCAGCATAAAAGCACAAACAACAAAAGCCAAAGAAATATGGTATCTCCAGAGCCCAGTTATCCAGGGGAAAGCAGCCCTGGACACCCTATCATAAGTGAAATTCAGGAAGATGACCTTACACCTATGCTTATGAAGAGGATAATGGAGAAAATTAATAAAATGCATAAAGAATTAGAGGAAGATAAAGTCAAACAGATTACGGCCACGTGCATACAGGAAGATGCAGCCAAACAGTTTGTGGCCTTCAGAGAGGAAATAATTAAGTCAGTGAAAGAAATAAAAGAAACAGAGGAATGTTCAAACAGGTGAAGGAATTGAAGGAAATCATAAAAATACAGTCAGACAGGTGAAGAAAATCAACAAAATGGTTCAAGATCTGAAGATAGAATTAGAAAATTGAAGAAGACACAAATGGAGGAAATCATGGAGAGGAAGAACTTAGGGAAGAAAATAGGAAGTACAGAGGTAAGCATAACCAATAGACTACAAGATATGGAAGAAGGAATCTCAGGTGTGGAAGATACAATGGAAGAAATCTATGTATCCATCAAAAAATGTTAAATATAAAAAATCTCTAACACAAACTGTCCAAGAATTCTAATATAACACAAAAAGGCAAAACCTAAGAATAATAGGAGTAGAGGAAAAAAAAGTTTTCCATCTCCAAGGCCCAGAAAATATTTTCAACAAAAATCATAGAAGAAAACTTCCCCAATTTAAAGGAGAGGCTTATAAGCATACAAGAGGTCTACAGAGCACCTAATAAATTAGGCCAGAAAAGAAAATCCTCCCACTACGTAATAATCAAGACAGTAAGTATACAGAACAAAGAAAAAACATTAAAAGCTGCAAGGGAAAAAGGCCAAGTAACATATAATGGCAAACCCATCAGAATCACACCTGACTTCTCTCAACAGAGACTGTGAAATCCAGAAGGACCTGGACAGATATCATGCAGACCCGTGTTCTCATTAGAAAAGAGGGGGTGATGGGGATGGAAAGGCAATGAAGCTGTGGTGTGGAGGCTGTGCTCTGTAAGATTTTGCCCTGGGGAGAGGGAGCTCAAGTGAAGGGGAGCAGGCTGTCTATTCCCTGGGGGAACAGCTGCTCCTCTCAGGGTCCTGACCTAACCAGTTCCAAGCAGGAGGTCATGCTTGGGGTCAGAGTTATTTGATGAAGTGCCTGTGCTCCACAAAGTTCCATGCACTCTGTAACCTCACTTCTTCCATTGCCTCGCAGCACTGGGCTAGCTTTGTTGTAAAATGGTTATTCACAAACAGAAAAAGTGGCTTGCCCTGTGTAGACAGGTAAGGAATGACAGAGGCCACATTTGATGTCAATGTTTTCAGGCTCCAAAGTTATCTCCCTCTACAGCACTTACTGTGTCCAATTACAATCCATGAAAACTGCCTTTCTTATGTCCTCATGCTATAATTTGTTTTGGAAATCACGCATATTCTCCTGTTTTACTCAGAAAGATTTCAGAAGAGCATCTGTATAAAGGATGGTCTGTCAAGCCCAGCTATGAGCTTATTTAATCCATCATCCTCCAGTCACATGGACTGTTGGAAAATGTTACACTGCTTGTTGGTGGAAGACTAAAAACGACACAGACATCCTGCCCTCCTCCATTTTGGGGTGCCAAGGAGACAGAACATTGGAATGTGAATATCTGTTTGGATAAATTCCCCTGGAGCCAGCTGAGCCAAGTGATTTCACCCTTACCATTAAGGTCAATGTAGTTCACCAGGGCAAGGAATGTGTCATTCTCCAGACTCTTGACTGCATCTACAATCTCCTTGTTAGTTTCCTTCATCATATAATTGTTAATTTGTGTCTCAGCCGCCCTGCTGTCTGTGAGGTCGATGGGGATGACTTCAGAGTGGTATAGGTCCTTGGCTCCTTTCACAAATTTGTCTACCTTGTTCAGGCCCTTGTTGATGAACATGCTGCTACCACCTTTTAGTTGGGCTTGTGCTGTACGCAGCTCGACTGAATGGAGCAGATACCAGAAACACTTGTGGATCTCATCCTCAGTCAAGCCTGTTTTGTTGAACCTTAGGCATTCCAGGATATGTTGGCTATTGTTACCTTTGGCTCCCAGGGCAAACATTGAAATAGCAGCAACAACTCTAGTTGGGGAGAATAAAATATTTCCATCTTTTGACTGTTGGGCCATCTCTTTGAACAAAGAAATGGAGATATTGCAGATGGTCAAAGCTACCTTCCTGCACTGGAAGGGATCAATGCCTGGATTATTGTCAAGTCCTTCCTGATAGTCAGTCTTGTTTCTGGGAAGGAGACAGCACAGGACAGCTAGCAAGAGGAGTCCATGGGAGAAAAAGGATTTCATTATCCTGCAAGACAGAGAAAGGGACACATCCCCTAGTCAGAGCCAAGGCAACTTTCACTAACCAATGATTGACACATGTAAAAGCAACCACAGTTTCCTACACCTGAGCTTTGTGCTCAGCCTGGACCAGACACTTCCTACAGCCTTAAATAGAAAGAGTCAGTGATAGCTCTCAGGGCAGGTCGTGTCTACCTGGTCTACACTTCTCTGATATGTAAGAGTACTTTGCTTTCCTGTCTCAGTCCCATAGAGGAACTACACAGTCTTCCACTCCTTGGTGAGGATATAATAGCCCAGAGTGGTGAAAGAATCTATTCAGAGTCCATGAGCAGGGACTATGGCAGGACCCTGTCCTACATAAGGCTGTCTGGATCCTACTCCACTCCCATCTGCAATAATCTAATGCAAGAGAAACTTCTCTGTTTGACCAAGATCTGTGCCCCTAGAATCCATAGGAGCTTGTAATAAAGATCAATTTCTGAGCCTCATTTTAAAAACAGAAGGTATTTGTAACATAAATACAGACATGGGTACTTATGCCTGGATATGATGTAGAGAGCAGTTTGTAGGTTTGGCAAACTCTGTGCTTCAGAACCACCCTGAGAGCTGTGGGGTGAATGAGGAGTGTGAACTCAAATAAAAAAGAGAGAAGAGGGGTTGGAAGGGCGGCACCACAGCTGGGGAGTTAATGAGAATATCTTTCCCTGTGGATAAGGAGTTCTTCCCAGGTGGTCAAGGGCAGACGGCCCCTTTGCAGAGAGAAGAGGCCCAGGCCCCTGGGCTGTCTTAGGGAGCCTTTAGAAACACACTTTTAAGGGTAGCAGTTTTAAAAGAACCATTTTCTCCTCTAAGAGAGTCTTGTGTGAGTCCTAGAATCCACAAGCAGAGGTCAAGGTTCGCGGCTTTGGGTAGAGGGTCTGGATCTGGTTGTGGCCCAAGATGAACATATTGGGTGTGGGAATAGGGGTGGTGGTGGATAAGACTGCCCGAGGTGTCTCAGCCCTCTATGCCCAAGGTGGAGATTAGAGAAAAGTAAGAGATCCAAAACCAGCCCAGGCCTAGAGGGCTTCCTCAGGGAGGGGTAGGCTCCCCAGTGTTCACCAGTGGGTATTCTGTGTGCTGAGAATGAAGAACAAGGTCTGTTTTCTCCTCTGGATCTGCTCTCAGGACTTGCATTTGTGTCTCACCTTCCTCTCTGTGGAGGGGGTATGGAGACAAGTCGTAAGGTTGGCAGTGCCCACCCCATGGGTTCAGGACTTACTGAGTAGAGTTGGCTAAGACAATGGGAAGCTCGTGGGCTGGATGTACAGCACAGACGTTCCCTTCAGCTCTCACCATAGGGAGTTATAGGCACAGCAGAGTGTGGGAGACACTTCAGTCCCTATGACATCTCATGCTTGAGAGAGCCTGGGCCAACTTGTAATCCAGACTAGAAGACGATGTGCCAGGTGCTGCTGTTGCCTAAGGGCCTGGCTGTCTTTCCTTGAACTGACTTAGTGAAGTGTAGCTGGCCAGTGCTACCCTTCTAGGAGGAAGACAGAGGGAGTCCTGTGGCCATAGCAACCTAGTTCAGAAATTTGCTGAGAGGAGGCCATGGGTCTGCATTCATGCCTGGCCTCAGTGTCTTTAACAATCATCATCTGCCTGAAGTTAGTGAGTGTGTTTCCCTTCTTTGTCTGGGAAGACTCACTTGGTTACTAGAATCTGTGCTGTCTTGCATTCAAACCCAGTTGTCTTGGACAGAGCAGGGATATAGCCCAGTGCCTTGGAAGACATTTTTGATGTAGCTGAGAGGGAATTAATGGTGTCCACTCCAGGGAGGAGGAACTCTGCCTTGAGGACATGGAGAATAAAATTCCTTCATCCTCATGTGTGCACCCACTCCATGTACCCATGCAACAGCCTCAACCCCAGATGTAAGCATTGGGAGCTGCACTTCCTGTCTCTCTAACCCTCAACAACCTGCCGCTGGCAGGCCTACAAGGGTCTTGAAGTTTCATCTGGTACGCCGAGCAAAGATACAGGTTCTCTGCCTTTTTAAAGGAATGGAAAGTACTCTGACCATATTCTTTTGCTTGTCCATCCATTCCAAGATAGGCATGTGGCTTACGGGCATATTATAACTTGTGGATATCATGCTGTCCTGAAAACAGGACAAGGTCTGTTGTCAAGGTCTCTTGACAACGTCTGTCAAGGTCCTTTCATTTCTTTTGCAATAAAGGAGAAGTGACATTGCTGGGGCGTGTGACCTGTTGGTTGATTTTAATGACCAGATTAATTGGACTATAAAAGGCCTTGGGATATAATGACACCTAGCTCTTGGTCTGTCTCTGAGTATTTTCTAGTGCTGATTAGATCACGGGGCAGTTGACTTTCTCTATGGCCTAATTTGTCGATGGATTCTTATGATGCCATTTTGGGGGAAGTGATGAAAGCAAAGATGATTAGCTGGCTGGAGGCACACACCCAGCGACTCTCCCAAGAACTTCATGTCGATTATATACTTCTTTCTATCTCTCCTCTTGTGCTCATGTATGAAGAGCTGGTCCTGCCTCCTGGCTTCACATCTCAACCATCACCTTTCCCTGATCACCTTCTCAACCCCTGGTTATGCTACCCACCACCATTTGTTTCAGCCTCATCCTAACCCCCTTTCCTTCTTAATATCGGGGCTTGGCTTTCCTCTCTTCTCCTGGTCAAACCCCTCTCTTCTTTCTCCTAAATGGACAGGCCCTCACAATCATCCTTACTACCCCGAACTGCAGCTAAGCTTGATGGCTTTCCTCAGTAGGTCCACTTTTCTCATCCAGCCCTTTATACCATTCCCCCAAGGTAATCCTCCTTTTTTACATCTCTAGCCCAACCGGACCTTGCTCTCTTAAGTTTTGGAAGACACCAAGGTTAACCAACCTGTCTCCAGTCTCAGAAGAATGAGGCCTCATACTTCTGCTGAAGCTCAAGCCTGACCCTATTGGGTCATGCCATTGCTCTTCTTGTACTTCCTCCTGCTCACACCCATCGGTAGTGAATTCTATGTGTTGAGATTTGAGCTTCAGGAAAACTATACTCAGCAGTTTAACCAGACTACTCATTTAGAGGGGTCTGGAGCCTGCACGCGAGCAGATTGCAAAAAGGAGATAATTATCCCTATAACCCCCCCAAAATCCACTTCTAGAACATCTGTTTCCTGTGCTTTCATTCTCTACGATCAAACTAAAAATTACTGCTGACATTGGCCAGAGACTTATGAAGGCTGCCCTTGTTGCTCCTGTAAGAGACATAGCACCTACTCAAAAGGGAGTTCTAACTTTTATGCAGAATTGAAAATCTTTTACATTCTAATTAATGACCCATGGCACACCGCGTGGCAGACGGTGGTAGTAAGCTTTACTATAGCATTCACCACAGTTGCCCATCAGGCACAATAACAACACAAAGAGTGCAAATCCACTTTCCCAAGCCTCAGGTATAGACACAGTAGAAGAAGTGGTCCAAAGCTCCTCAAAGGCCCCCACGTCTGTTTCTCATAATATTGATGCCAATTCCCCTATCATATGGTCTCTTGTTTCAGACCTTCATCTCTGCATATCAACTCTTAAAGAATGCTCTGCCTAACGTCTTTGGGGCATGCTGGTGTGTGTCTCTCCTGGGTCAAAGTCACAACCACCCTTTGTGGCCTCACACATTGCCTTACTAGATTCTTTCACTTTGCCACTCGTTAAGTGCACAAGGCCAGCCATCTCTACCACCCCTTACCTCTCCCACATCTCCCTCTTTGGTGTCACAAATTGCTTTAATTCTTCAGGGACACACTTTGTGGGCACCCTAGAGTCCACAGATTGTAATAATACCCTACCCACTGATACTACCACTCAGCCCCTATGTCCACATACTTACAGTGCCTCAAATATCTGTGGTTCTCACACATATCATTGCCTACCTACTGGATGGTTGGAACTTGTACCCTGGTCTTCCTTTTTCCAAAACTGGTGGTACCTGGTGAAGAACCCTTGCCAATTACCGTTACCGGGTTTATGGCAGCATGACACAATAAATGGGCAAGTTAAGTCATACCATTTCTAGCAGACCTGGGCATAACTGCTGGTGTCACCAACACAACAGCAGGACTGACGACTTCTCTAGCTATTTACCATAAGCTTTCCTCCCAGTTTATCCAGGGTCTCCAATGGGTGGCTCAAACCATCCTTACCCTCCAAGGCCAGGTAAACTCACTGGCCAAAGTAGTATTACAAAATTGCCAATTTTGTAATTTACTAATGGCAGAGAGAGGTGGTTTTTGTCTCTTCCTTGGGGTCAAATGTTGCTTTTATGTTAATCAGCCAGCATAGTAACAGATGATATTCGACAACTTCAGACAGATCTCCAAAAGCATAACAAACAGATCAATGCCTCTGGCCAGTGGTTCACTGACAGTCCCCTATGGAATTGTATACTCCTCTTTTAAACCTGCTTCTCCTCATTTTCTTTATTTTAGTAAGTGTGCCCGCTCATAAACTTCTTCCATCTAAAGTTTTGCAACAGCAAATTCAAAGGATCTCTAATCAGACTTTTCATCGGTTACTATTACAAGATTATTGACCCCTAACTATGGAGCCAGGCCCTGCAACATCCAATTATACCCTGACCGGACTTCTCCCAAAGACATCAACACCCCAAATCATCAGGAAACCGTCTGATGACAACAATGCCCCCTTTCCAACCACATCCTTTCTACCTTCCTGATTCTTTATTAAACAAAAAAGAGGGGAATGTAGGCCTGGAGCTTCAGCAACCCACCGCCTCAGCCTTGGACTGGGCCTTGGCAGTTGAGCCATCACAGATATGGAGGCAGCTCTGGGAGATAACCGGAGGCATGGTGCTCCACTCCCTGATCAAAGAGGCTTCCGCCCCATTAAGCCAGCTGCCACTGTTCTCCACAGTCAAAGCAGCCTGCAGCAGCAGAGGGATCAAAGTGGTGAGTGCCCATCCAGCTGAGGTGGCCTGCCACCCCACGCCGCCCTCATAGCCCACTGATGTGGAAGTTCCACGCTGCAGCAATCCTAAACTGTAGCCATCCTAACCTACCCCAAGGCTCTGGATGGGCCACTTCAGCCACCCCAAGCCTTCCTGATGCTCTCCTTCCTGAGCTGTGGTGACCTGCTGCCTTCCCTCCTTCCCCTTGCATCCTCTGCAGCAGTGAGAAATCCAAGTGGCCCACCACTCCCACTTTTTCACACACCAAGAGCAATGAAATTCCACTAAAATTCCAAGTGGCTCCCTGACAGTTCCCCTTCCTGCCTCAGGGCAGTCAGCCCCTGCTTCCTACCCTGGGGCTGTGGAGGCAGGAGACAATATTGCTGCACCTGTCAAGACCTCAGTGGGAGCTGTCCATAGTGATTATTCCTTCCCTTCACTGACAGCTGTATCTGTGGAAAAGGAGGTGAGCTCAGGCTCTTAGGCTCATCAGGGGCTGGGGCAACCCTCCATTGATAGCTGAGACCTCTCAGACCTGGGTGGTTCCTGGGCTCTCATGCCTCAGGATACCCCTGGGACACAGTCCCTCCTCAGAACTATGTGGTTCCTGGACTGTTTTGGAGATATGCTCCACAGGAGGGGTGCCTCACTTAGTACTGTATGCCTGAACAGAAACCTGTGGCTCAGGAGGCCAGAGGACCCAGTAGAAGGTTGATGTCATTGCTTTGCTAAACATATGTGACATGTCTGTCAGTTTGCCTCCTGAACATATGTGTCTATTCACTTAGATTCCCGTTGCTGGTAGTTTAGGTCAAGAAGGCCTTTTGAAGTAGATCGTGATGCCGGCACAGATTTACCACCAGTCAAATGGCTAAAGATAGGCTACTGCTGCCTCGACACACTGGCCCAATGCTCAGCTCTACATGCAAGAAGAGGATCGTATCTTCCAAGGCTCAGGGAATGTGGTAGAAGAAGAAGCCAAGAAAAGGGGGGAGTGTTGTGTATCTGCTCCTCCAGACTGAAGCATTTTCTCATGGAGGGAGAGGACCCTCAGAGGCTCAAGAAGCAAGATCTGCAGGCTCCTTCCTGAGGAGTAAATAAGCAGTAAATAACTCTCAGGCTGGACACCTCTTCACTGGGGTAGCTTCCTGCAAATTATGTAAGGAATTTCAGCCACAGCCCTTTCCTGATTTCTCACTCAAGTAGCTGTGTCAGGCTGTTCAGAGATGCAGCTTCTGAAAAGTCAGCCATGCTCCCATAAATAACCACACACTTAATGCCCTTGTGAGGAAATCCAGTAGAGTCATTCATTCATTTGTTCACCAAACAGGACTCGGATAAAAATCTTTGATATTTTGTTTTATTTTGTTTTGTCATTGCCCTCTCTATCTGGGGTGAATAGAAATAGCCTCCCCAGAAAAGAATTTATATAATACCCAGGCTTGAAGTAATCCAGGCAGAGAATGTGGTGGGGAAGGTAGAGACTGATGCTCAAGTGTAATTATTGTGGTCTGGGATTCCGACTTTGGCCATGAGAAATGGAAGATCTAGGGTTTCATCTTTGATGATGACTAGGAAGGGCCTGTTGAACATGACAGTGAGGACCTTAGGCCACAAAGTCTGGTACAGGTCAAGGCCCTCAGGGACTTGCGTCTCTCTTTCTTCAATTCTCAACACAGCCTTATGCACCGCCTAGGGAGAGAGCAGGGTGGGGAGGCGGCAGCAGGTCAGAGGCTGTGCTGTTCACACTCAAGGCTGAAGCAAGCCTCCACGTGGGAACCTCACTCAAGGAGGGCCTCCCAGGGGCCCGTGACCTCCTGATCAGTCTTACCTTGTTCATGACCCCCTCTCTTCAGGATCGCTCAGAGCCTTTTCTGACTTGGCCTGCTTTTTATTTTCTGCCTTTCTGACCCCCATGTCTGATACCCTTTGGGGCTGCCTAAAGCTGTGTCCTCTGTAATATATATGCACTTTCTAGTGCACAGTTTTGAGTTTTTGTTTTGTTTTGTTGCAACAAAGACTCTGACTGTGACCCTCAGAGTGCCCAAACTCCCCAAACCTGAAGCTCATGTTCAATCACTTTTGTTTCAGGTCTACTAATTTTCCCAGAACTATTGGCTAGTTCCCTCATAAATTGAACTTTGTGGTTCACTTGTAACTTAATGGAAAATTCTAGAACATTCTTTGAAGTAACTAAGCCTAAGACTTTCTGCATAAGCATGAGCAAACCAAGGCTCAGGCAGTAGAAGGCTGTAGCCCGAGATTGTCAGAGAAAGACCTCAGGCAAAAGCCATGGTACCTCCTACATGAGAAGTCACCCCCAGCTCTGATCTTTAACACCATCCTGTCCAGGTACCTTCTGAGAGTCCTCAGAGCTCAACCTGGACCTTGCTCATGTGTCTTTCTTCATCTGGAGCCTCGTGCCTAAAGCTGTGCCCTCTATCTTTCCTTCTGCCCTTCACACACTTGGAACTACACACTGGTTGGGTGGCCTCACCTTGGACAGCTTTACAGGAGTGTCCTCTGTGAGTTTTGACAGGTCAGCCTTTTTGCTGAAGATCTGTTTGATACCCAGTGTCTTCATGACTGTCTTCAGATCATAGGTCGAAGAAATGGTGAATCTTGGGAATTGTAACTTGGCAAACCTGTCATAGTGGAAGAAAAACATGAGGGTGTGATAGCTTTCCCTCTTCTTCTGGGACCTGCCATAGTGTGAAAGTGTTTTCTTTTCACATTTACTGCCTTGTTGTCTTTGTCCACAGCAGGATGGTAGGCTATCTTGGTGACCTGTCCTTGTAACTTCCTCTACACTTGGCGTGGAGGTCAGGTGTTGACATTAATGGGATCAACTGATACGAGTAGCCCTGAAGGGTCACCTCTTCTGAGAAGTGCTCCTGACAGAGTCGGGGTGCTCTCGGGAAATCATGTCTCATCTCTTTCCCCGGAGCTAGGGACACTCCTGAGCATTGGCAGGGCCTGATGCAGCCGAGTGACATCTGCTTCGACACGAAGAGCAGAGGGACCCTGTAAGCTGAAGGAGGCCTGGGAGCAGGCTGTCCTTCCTGTTCAGCTCTGTGGCTGCTTCTAATCACAGTCCCATCCTGTTCTCTGCTCTCTGCTTGGGGTGTGCGGTCTTAGGGCTATTTTCAGCAGAGCTGCGCCTCTGCCCACACTTGCTTCAGGCCCATGAAACAGACATAGGGTGGAGAACACCCTGTGGTTTGTTGGCTCGTGGGAACCCAATAAGCCACACTGAAAGGTAACAAAGGAACAGAGCATCCTGCAAATGTGCCCCCGGTGTCCAACTTTAACCTTTTCCTCTCTAGGCTTCTCTAACCAAGCTCTCCCCATGTCAGCTGTGAAAGGCACCCATTATCTGGAAGAAGCGCCTTTTCAAGTGGAGTCCAAGGCCCAAGCACATGTCAATATTTTAGCACTCTGTAATTTTCAATAGGACTGCAGCAAGTGTGCTGGACAGAAAGCTTACCCAGCAGCCATACTTTCACCAATGTCTCTTCCTGCCTGGAGGCTATCCAGAAAGCTTGTGGGAATTTATCCCCCTTTCCTTTTAGCCTTTCCCTTGCATTGTGCTTTTCCTTGAGTGTGCTGATGACAGTTCTTTGCTGCCTCCAGGACAACTGTCTTCTATAGACATTCTCAGATTGCCATCCCTTGTGTACACTCTGTCCTGGAAATTGTACCAACTGGGTTCTTTGTCTCAAAGCCCATCTTCCTGTTCTTGGTTCTGTCATAAGATATATTTTGGTGACTGTCACGAAGCCCAGCAGTGCACATTTGGAAGGTACAGTATGCATGGTGGGAAGGCAACTTCCAGGACCAGGGCATATTGTTCCCAGTGAGCATTGCCAGGGCACCCAACCTAGCCAGCACTGCTTTGAAGAGCCTCTAGGTCGTGAATGGTAGCTGTGACTCAGGGATGGGGTCCACCTGCTCTAGCTGAGCGAGTGGCCAGTACTGAGGGGTGACTGACCTCAAAAGACAGAAGCGTTCTGAATCACCTTGGGTGAATGTGGCTCTGGATGCTCTTGAGGTAGTCATGGCTTAGGTTTTGTACCAGCTGCTGCATCTTCCCCAGGTCTGGCAGGATGAAGAAGGCCATGGCATCCCCTACATAGTGCTGTAACAGCACCCAGCTAGACAGACTCTTAACCTTTTGCAGATAAAATTTACCCAGGCGGTTGATCATGGACACCAAAACCACCTTGTGTGTATCCAAGTGGAACTTTTCTTCCATAATATACTCATCCTGGAATTCACCATTCTGGACTCCTGGGGAGAGAGAAGAGGCTATCAGTGATGGGTGGGATCAAAATTTAGGTGTCAGAGCAAGGGATTCCCTGGCCCCTAGTGAGACACCCCTCACCCCCTTTATCCTTAGCTTCATGAAGTATAAATGGAGGGATGAGCTTGACCACAAAAGTCTGCAGAAGGAATTTTGTGATGGTCCCCTGAAGCTGTAGAAGATATAGAATACTTTTTATCAGGCTAATGAGTGAGAAAATTTGCAATTTCCTCCCTTCCTTCCTTCTCTTCCTCTGTTGGATATTATGCATGTTTGATAGTTTCATGAGGATTTGTTGCTTACGGTAGAAATTGAACCTATACTCCCATACACTCAGCCCCCTCTCCATCACTGAGATATAACTTTGCCCCTGACTGGAGATTCTCAGTAAACAGTGGAAGCTCAAAGTTTCCTCCTGTAAGATTCCTGCTCTTGGCAGACAATTACTCTGTCTGTATTTGGGAGAAAGCTCATGTGTGCATATGCCTGAACATTGCCGCCTCTGTTGTATAAGTGTCACCACTGAGAGCATCAGAGAGGCCAGAGCCTCAAGGACTGAGATCATTAGGAAGGAGCAGGTAATGGGGTGTGGACAAGGCCTACCTTTGTCACAGCAAAGCTGGTACCTCAATTGTGCTGGATTTGACCCAGGGGCTCCATTTCTCAGGACTCTGTCCAGGGTCAAGGAAGCCAGGGTAGAGAGAAAATGCTTTGGTCTTGATTCCCATCATCCACCAGAGGGTCCTTACCTAATCATTTCCAGGCAGGATGTCACACTGGGGTGGGGTTGGGGGCCAGGTTAGTTGCTCTTGGTAGCTATTAATTCTTTCACCACCTGAGAGCTTCCCTTAGGAAGGTGGATGGTTATATCTTAAAACAGTAACGAACTATAGAAATGATCCCTGAAAGTATAGTCTCTTGATTACATGATGGGAAATGTAGGTCTGATTTTCCCCAGGGCACAGTGATAGGATACTTATCATGCCTACTCATCACTAGGTCATGTGCTGTTTCATACAAATGAAGTTCAAGCATTTCAACATTTTAAATTATATCACAACAAAATTATTTTTATGGAATTCTCAGTCACCTGTATGTAATCTATATTACATGATTAAATAGATTATTCATAGATTATCATGGTTTTGAATAGGTGGGTAACAGGGTCCTGATTAAGTGAATTTGATCCCTGGAACCTAGATGGCAGATGGTGAGAACCATGTAGAAAGAGAGAAATGACTGCCATGGGCTGTGCATGGCGTGACCTCCATATGTGTTCTATGACATGTGCAGCTATGCGCTTCCACACAACAGCAAGTAAATAAATATAAAACCCTACTACTTTTCACTTCAAGCTAGTAATACTTCTGTTCCCAAGCATGTTCCTATAACTCGTTATGTGACTTAACTACCATAAAAGCTGGGGCTAGTCAAATAATGCCCACGGCACACAGCACACTCATCATCCACTCTTATCCCATAATGAGCCCCATCCATGGTGATCATCATTCACGAACCCACCAGGCTGCTCCCCAGCTTGTCTGCTTGTGTCTTTACTGCCTCTTCAAAAGAAAACTCCTTCCCACTCACCTGTCCATCTATTCATCATTTTATAGTTTCAAACCAGACTGTGAGCCCTAGGGTTCTGATCTCTGTGGCTGCCCTCCCCGGTACCAGCCCCACCTTACCACTGAAGGAGATATAGTTCACAAGGGCAAGGACTGTGTTTATCGGCAGGTCCTCGACCCCTTGTACTATATGTCCATAGCTTCTCATCATCACGTGATTGTTGACCTGGGCCTTTGCTTCCTGGATGTCCTTGAAGTTGATGGGGACAGCTTCCGTGTGGTACAGCCCCGTAATAGCCTTTTTGAATTTGTCTGACATCTTCAGAAATTTACTAATGAACAAGGTGTTGCCGGTGGTCAGGTGAAGCTGGTGATCTGGC